TATATATATATTTGTATATATCCCGCATCTATTAACAGACGCATATCGAACATCTGATTCCAGCGAATCATTCCATCAGGCCGCCCCTGACTACGAACAAGCTTACAAAACAGCGGATTCCAGCACAAAATGGAATACCAGCCTCCACAACCAAAATCTTCGAAGAAAAATAGAAGCAGACAAATAATCTGGTACAACCCACCATTCACTTCGGAAAATCATTCCTTAACCTTGTTAAAAAGCATTTCCCGAGTGGCAACATATTGCACAAGCTCTTTAAAAAGAACAACGTCAAAAAAAAAATAAAATGAAAATACATCAAAACGATTGATTCATACAATCTGAAGAAAATCACATTCGCAGTTTTGTAGCAATTGCTTTGGCTACGTTGTTGATTTAGTGGGTGCTGCCTTCTTTTGCTTTCTTGTATGAGGTGGTGATGTTCTCATGTACGAGTTTGTCGTACTCTTCTTTAGTTACTTTGTAGAAGTTCGTGGTTTTGTCGACGGGGATGATGAGCTTATATACTTTGCTGATGGCGATTGAGTCATGCTTGAGTTTTTTTAGGAAAGCGCATTTCGTGTTGCGGAATATTTTGCACAAGCTGTTCAACAAGAACAATGTCAATGTCAGCTATAGCTGCTCAAGAAACATGGGCAGTATAATCAGAGCTCACAACAAACAGCTTCTGGTTGCTAAGCAACAACAGCCAAAAACTCTCTGCAATTGCAGGAAAAAAAGATGAATGCCCACTCTCCGGAAATTGCCTCACCTCATCCATCATCTACAAAGCCACTGTCCACTCAAATGATGACACAAAATGCTACATCGTGCTCACTGACACACCGTTCAAAACCCGATACACATACCACAAATACACTTTTAACACCCCCAAACACAGAAACAGCACCGTACTCTCCAAATACGTATGGAAATTAAAAGACAGCAACACACCCTACAACATTAAATGGTCTATCATCGACAGAGCATCGGCTTACTCCCCTAAAACAAAACGCTGCAACCTGTGCATAACCGAGAAACTTCACATAATATATTCAGACAAACAGTCAATACTAAACAAAAGAACCGAGCTATTGTCTAAATGCAGGCACAGCAAAAAATACCTACTTAAAAACAATTAACTCATTTGCATTTTCACCTGTCTTAGCATTCATATACTCCACAATCCTTGTATTCTCTCACTCCTGAAGATTGCATTAGCATGAAACATTCTGTAGAGTGATAATACCCAGTATATATATATATATATATTGCTTTATTTGGGCCTATGTCCATTTTGTTCGATGACATGATAATTATGACTAACCCTACTAGATGTACCGGTACAGTGTTGTATTCAACACAT